AACAGATATTTCTATTGTATCACTTACGTGATATAGTTACTAACACTTGCGATTTTATCTTTTGTCATAGCATCCAATAGCATATCCATTTTTTATGACTTTCTGTAGAACATTCACTTTGATGTACGAAACACTAAATCAATGAGACAATTGATAAGTATAACGTTTTGTGCTTAAAGAACTCATGCAGCACATTTAAAAATTGGAAAGAACTTTCACAGTGGGACCTATATGATATGAAATAATACACTTAAAAGTTATATATATATAAACAGAAGCGCTACCGAAAAGTTATATATATAAACAGAAGCGCTACCGAAAAGTTATATATATAAACAGAAGTGCTACCGAAAAGTTATATATATAAACAGAAGTGCTACCGAAAAGTTATATATATAAACAGAAGCGCTACCGAAAAGTTATATATATAAACAGAAGCGCTACCGAAAAGTTATATATATATAAACAGAAGTGCTACCGATACGTTTCACACTCGCACTCATACTGTAGCGTTTAGTCGTGTGATATGAGTCACAGATTAAAGTTTGAATGTTTCTTCAAGATTGTTATAATATTCTTTGGAGACATTTGTGTGTATACATATTTAAAGCTTGTTTTGGTTTATTTTAGATATGATAAACATTTCATATTGGACAGGTGCTTCTTATAATCCAAACGAGATATTTGTTTTATATAGAACAAAATTCTACCTTTTCATGTCATTTCCCATATAGGACACTAAAATCAAACTAAGCAAGTCATCTAAACAGTCCAGTATTTTGGCAGCTACGTGGATGAACAGAAACTTTTATATTATGGATTTGAAGACTTACACTTCGTTTTAACAAACTGTATTACTTTCAGTTTATATAATTCAGATGTAACTATATCTAGAGTTTGAATGCTTTAATTTAACGTGTAAAACAGTCCTTTTTAGGAATATGTATAAGTAAGATGATCTAATGTATGTATGCTCTTATATGTAAACTGTAAAGTCAAACTGAACTACATTACAGTTAGAATACGATGCATACAATATATTTATATAGCTTGGATGCTTTACATTAATACGAAAAATAGTCTTATATAGATCGAAAACGAAACTAGTATAGTATAATCGCAAGAGTAAGTTATAAAGTGCGCTATACAATTAATTAATCAAACTATAAAAAAACTCGATCAAACAAAGTATTGATTTTATTTATTTAAAGTTTGTTTTATTGATATATTATGACGAAATGCACACACAACCGATCTCTGCAGTTTTGTTTGGAGGACAGCATTAGTTATGCTTTTATACGATATGTATATAGTATGTAATGAATGTTTTAAGTTAATACGAAAAATGGTCCTCTACGTAGATTGTAAGTTAAACTAGTGTACGGACAACCATAAAGTACGTTGTATAAATAATGTTACTTTAATAAATAAAATATACATTTTACGTATTGAAATGATTTGTTTATCATCAAATAAATGAGTATTAAGGTGAAACTACAAAGTAGAAAGTTGACTCTAACTATAATGCAGAAACCAATATTGTTTTAAGAATTGTAGAAAATGAAATGTTTCATTGTTTGTTATTTCGCAAAATGATGCATACGATAAATATCTAAAGTTCGAACACTGTACGTTGATACAAAAAATGTTTCTCTACTTATACTGTAAGTTACTCTACTGTATGGCCTTTGTGTACAATGTAAGTTACTCTACTGTATGGCCTTTGTGTACAATGTAAGTTACTCTACTGTATGGCCTTTGTGTACAATGTAAGTTACTCTACTGTATGGCCTCTGTGTACAATGTAAGTTAAAATAGTGTATGGCCTCTGTGTACAATGTAAGTTACTCTAGTGTATGATCTCTGTGTGCAATGCAAGTTAAACTAGTGTATGATCTATGTGTACAATGTAAGTTAAACTACTTTATGATCTCTTTGTGCAATGTAAGTTAAACTAGTGTATGGCCTCTGTGTACAATGTAAGTTACTCTAGTGTATGGCCTTTGTGTACAATGTAAGTTAAACTAGTGTATAATCTCTGTGTACAATGTAGGTTAAACTAGTGTATGGCCTTTGTGTACAATGCAAGTTAAACTAGTGTATGGCCTCTGTATACAATGTAACTTAAACTAATATACAGATATTCACATATATAAACCATGAAGTAAGTAATACAAATAGTCAAACAGTAATAAATTAAATATTATTCAGAGAACAAAAAGGGATACATAGGTCACGATATAATGAATGCATTTTTACTGACTATTTTTCATTTGGACATACTATTTGTTTTGTTTTTAGTTCATACGATTTAGATGAAAATACTTAGACTTCGAACACTTTACGTATAAAGCAGCACGAAATAGTCTTTTTCAGGACGACGTAGAATCGTAGATTGTACATTCAAATAATATATATATATATATATATTCTAATGAGTGCATCATGAAGTATGCTATATAAGTAATCAAACTATAACAAAAATCGACGAAAGAAAACAAGCATTTTATTTATTCAAACACTGTGTTTGTTATTACAAATTGAATGCAAAATCATACTATGCATTTTTATTTGGACATACAAATGTAGTTAACGTTTTTATCGTTGACGGCGCCCTATGCGAGATATAGATTCTGTGCTCTTCCGAAAAAAAAAAAAATGTAATCTACTCTTGCCTTCCAAGATGTAAACTCACACACCCCTACGGATTGGCACTTTGTGGCTTGTTACGGCCCATTTTTATATAGAGTTTGAATGCTCTAACTTAACATGGAAAGAGTTCTCTGTGTATATTGTAAGATAAACTAGTAATGGATAATAACGAAGTACGCTATACAAATATTCAAACTAAAATACATAAAATATCTATCCTAAGAGTTGAAAACGCTTTATTTATTATAGATATTGAAGTAAAAAACTATAAAATATACGGTGTTTAAAACTATATAGAATGAACTATGTTATTTGAATAACACGACTCAACTTGATATTCATGTTAAGACTGTCAGGTGTTTGGATTGCGAATCACATAATAAGTCATCTGCACACGCTCTCTCTGCGCTGTCCAGTGGCTTAGCTTACAACGCTAAAATTCTGGTTTCGATACACATGGTGGGCGGAACCATAATGCCCATTGTGTAGCTTTGTGGGCTGCATCAACCAACAATAACAATATCGTCGCTCCGCATAGACGATATCATTGCCCCTAGTAGCAAACTTTAGAACTACCCGCCCTCTGGCTTCACTTTGTAGAACTATGACGCCATGTGACCTCCTTGTCTTGAAGAATCCTTCTCACTTTGATCTCCACTCACAGACAACTCTAACTGAGGTCGCTCTTTTAGAAACACGTTAGGAGGGTTAACTACTTGCGTCAAGGAGGAAGAGGTCAAATGCACCTGACCCTCCCAGGTTTTCAAGACCTAAACTCCGATAAAGATCAAAGACAGACAGACTTGTATCAAACTTTAATTCAAAGAACAACATATTAAACTCAACGTTATATGAAAAAAGAAATTTAATTTTAAAATTTATGGAATAGAATTACTTGTATACTTTTGTGCGAAACATATATATATATATATACAGAGAGAGAGAGATATATATAGATATTTAATGTTTTAAGGATTAAACTCTCATACTTATTTATTTCATTAAAAGATAATATTATAATTATACTTTCGTGAAGAAAAAACATTAGTTATATTTGTATTAAAATGTATAATCAATCTTCTGTAGAATACTGTGAAAGATAAATATATTCTCATTACTTTATGAAAGAGAAACCTGTACTTAAAACTGATTGCAAGAAAAACTTAAATTTACTTTTGCAAAGAGAGCAGAGTAATAAATACTTCATACTGTATGGAAAAGAATGTTGTATGTAACTCTGAACGGAATAGAAATTTATACCTAACTTCGCATGGAAGAGAAACGTATGTATATTTAACTTTGTATTGGAAAAAAAAAGAGATTAATACTTAATTATGTAAGAAACACCGTATATTTATACAATTTAAATGTGTGAGATATGATCCTTATACTTACCATGGGAGAGGAGTATTTGAAATATAAATATGTATTAAATTATATAAAAACTCTACATGTACTTATTCTTCCATGAAAGAGAACACTATACGTGTATAGAACAGAAATATCTACCTAATGTCTATCGAAAGAAGATGTATACTTAACGTTAAAGTCATTATTATATTTCTACAGCAGTCCTATACTTAAAGCATACGGAATAGAAACATGCACTCAACCTTAAAATATGATATAAACAGTTGTAATATTTATTCAAGTATCAGTTTGTTTTACGATACACAGTTTCATTGCCCTCGGCAAATATTATAGCTTCACGCGGAAAATATAAGAGACTCCAAGACAAGTTATTAACTAAACTACACAACACATTCAAGCTGGGTTTAACGTATTTGGTATCGTATATGGATTTCTAAAACAGTCTCCATGTGTTATGGTCACACATGCTAACGAAAGTAGTAGAGCCAATACGATACAAGAACCAGCTGACCATGGCTGAACAAAATGTGGTGGTTGTGGACATCAGTTCTAACTTTCTAATTTTTTTTTTGTATGAGAACACTACCATTTCTAATAACTAAATCTTTATCACTCAATACACACTTGTGGTGCAACTTAGGTTTCATTATATATATGTGTGTGTGTGTGTGTGTGGGAATAAGTTGTTTAAGTAAACAGGTAATATATATACCTATTCCGTAATAAATAATTAGAATTTTGAAAATTAAGGCTCGTGTAACACATCTAAAAAATATATCGCTTGTACTATTCCCCACTCCCTCCATAAAAAAACAAAATTAGAAAAACGTTCTCAAGCAATCACTTTGTACGAAATACTCTGTGCTTTTTATCCTTATATCTTTCTTGTTAAAAAAAAAATACGTTTTTTTTTAAATAATCATTTGCGGAACTACAAAGGTTGAATATGTTACATTAAAATTATTTTGAAGCCTTACTATATCGTTACAGTCCACCACGTCCGCTCTATCTAGCAACTATGCATCTTGACAATAGAGCTGTAGCGTAGTTTCCATTATCGAAAGCTCCGCCGCTGAGCTGTTATTTCAAACACACCAATCTTTCCCATAATCCATCTAGTGAGTACACGAGGACGACTGTTTCCTAGAGTCCGATTCAATAGTGCGATCGTACAGAAATTCTAAGACACTGCATCCCGTGACTTGATCGGTATGCCCTCGTGCGAAATAATGTGAATATCCGTTTGATTCCCCAGCTGCTTGAGGTTGGGACGGTTAAACGGATATATCATGGAAGTACTGTTATGTTCGTGATTTCCTACCTGTTACAAGACGCCGTTACAATCTCTCTCGTCTATCGCTTGACAATTAGAGGTGGCTAACAAGATACCTCTTCTGTTACTTTATGCGAATATCCGAAACAATTCAAAATCTTTGTCTTTCAAAAATGCACTCCATCCCTCGGTGAGTCAACGGTAAGTTTACGGACTTACAACGATAATAAAAGTTATATATTCAAGAAACGACTAATTATTTTGATAAAAGTTCATTCAGCAGATAATTTGAGCTTTGCATTTTTTTAGATTACGATACATCAATATTATATTTATCTGTATGAATTATTTTGTCTATTGTCAAAATGCTTTAAGTCCAATAAAAAACGGGCACTAATGAGATGCACCATGATATGAACATGTTTGCTTATTAAACTTCCATCAGTGGATTATAGATGGCGCTTTCAACATAGTTTATAGTTTCGCCATAACAACTGCCTTTCGTTTTCGGCTATACGATTTTCTAGCTAACATAATCAAATAAGTATTACACATGATCTTTAACCAAACTTATGCAAGGTTGTTCTTCAGTTAAGGTAGTATGAGTACAGACTACGTTAATAGTTTGTACTTAAATAAGAACAAATCACTCTGAACGTTTTTAAGTTTTTTGTGATTTAGCTCATTATTACTTTAAATCAGTTTTTGGGTGATAATTTTTATTTTCTACAATTATTTTTGTTTGTTTGTTTGAAGTTAAGCACAAATAAACCGGAAGATATTTTAGTGGAAATTAAATAAATTTGTTTTACATCTGAGAAATTTACATGTATTGTCCTGATACTCGCATTCTAATGGTAATACAATGAATATTTACTTTATAAATTAAACCCTCTCTTTAATGTAATAGACTATAGAACGAGATAAAGTTGTACACGAATCTCTCGTTTACTACGGATATTTATAGTTTACTAGCATTCATCTGTTCTTATATCATCGTGTTTAGAGTTAAATTTCAAAGTCTTAATGCTGCACGGAAAAAAAAAGAAAGATGCGTGAGTCACCTTTTTGGCATGGTTTCTGTGTCACAGTGACTTCCATTTAAGGCCTGGTATTCGAAGACACTTAAATCTTTTAAGCCAATAATTTAAAACCATAATAGCATCTCAATATAACCCAAGGCTCTATTTGAAATGCAAACAGCTACTATATTTACGCGATGCTCTTCAGTATAATCTTAGAAATATTTTTACCCATGTTCATTCATTCAAACTTATAGTAAGATTATTAATTTAAAATTAATAATCTTAGTTTTTCTTAGAAGCTTAGTTTTCATAAGTTTAATCATTTTATCACCTTTTTTTTTAAGAGTATTTTTTACCAATTTCTACTTCATATCATTACCACATCATTGTTTTTGAATAAAATGTTTATGATTAAGTCTGCAATTGAAGTGGATGCCTTTTTTTATTGTTCCAAGTTAAGTTTCACTGTTATTTGAAGATACTTAATAAATAGAGTTGATTTACGGGTAAACCTACAGTGATGCAACGAACAATGAAAAAAACGGGCGATGAAGCTCGACTTTTGTTTTGATATATATATATATATATGTTCTAGACAAATGTTAAATTCTGCTTTTAGACTTGCCTAGTCAGCTAGATGGCCCGCATGACCCGGTGGATAAGTCACTCGACCCCCCTATCCAAGGGGCGCGGGTTCGCGTCCTTGTCGCACCAAACATGCCCACTTGGGCGTGGGGGCTAGCAACTCCACCCCGATAACAATCTGCTACGGAAAGTGCTACAACACTTCCGTCGGCGAAGTGTTGTTGTAGCCCTATGTTCCACTAGGAACTAAGAAGAAGAAGTCAGCTAGATAACGGCGATGAGATCTGGTAACGTACGTCCATGCTTCTTGTTGTTTTCTTAGTGCAAAACTATATAATGGACTATCTGTACTGTGTCTGTCGCGGGGAAACGAATCCTAGATTTTGCATCGTAAGTCAGTAGACTCACCGCTGACCAACCAGGAGGCCATTTCCATGTTTATAGGCATAAGATGTGTTAAGAGATAAAGTTATTATTTTTGAAATTAGAAAATACCGAAATGTAGTACATTTATTTATATAGTTGTGTACAAGTTGTCCGATAAAGTGAATAGAAATTTCAGATGCTCCACTAACCAGTGTTAAGTTTTTAATAGAATTACATTCATACTTATTTATTTAATTTGTTGTAAAATATAAAACTATATAATGAGCTGTATGTACTGTGCCTACCGAGGGGTTTCAACCCCATAAACTTCCAAGCTTATCGTTAAGCCACCAGGGGATTGTTACAGTGGGTCACTGATTTTCTAAAATTTTAAATAAAGCAATCAAATCTCTATTTTCTGTTATGTGCTCTCGTTTGACTTTATTTTTAAGAATGTAAAATTCACGAAAGAATTATGCATGATAATGTTAAATACTTCGTATAATTTACCTGTAGAATTATGTATAAACACTTCTGATGATACCATGTATCCTATAGATTTGTAAGTTTTCTTTATACCCTGGATCTTATGTAGATTATAAAAATGACCAACGCCATACACCACTATTCTCTACCAAAATAATTTATTAAAGAAATTCTTTTTTAAGCACAAAAAAAAAAACATTCTCAAGTCTCGTATTTCTACTCCAATATAAGTTTCAAATCAGAAACCTGATCTAAAATATTACAAATTTACGTTTATTAATGAATAAAATAAAGAATTTTATGTATTTAAATTAATGTCTTTCAGTTCTATTCTGAACACCTAGACTTCAATACTGTGTGAGATTCCGTGTATATAAACGCCATTTTAGAAGGAAACACAACGTTTTTGTTTTATTATTTTGTTTATAAACTAGTGTTTTTTTTATAAAACATTCAAAAATTGTAGAAATAAAAAATAAAGTGGAAATTGAAATAATTGTTTGTTTTTGAATTTCGCGCAAAACTACACGAGAGCTATCTGCGCCAGCCGTCCCTAATTTAGCAGTGTAAGACTAGAGGGAAGGCAGTTAGTCATCACCACCCACCGCCAACTCTTGGGCTACTCTTTTACCAATGTATAGTGCGATTGACCGTCACATTATAACGCCCCCACGGCTGAAAGGGCGAGCATGTTTGGTGTGACGGGGATTCGAACCCGCTACCCTCAGATTGCGAGTCGAGCGCCCTAACCACCTGGCCATGCCGGCCAAAGTGAAATTAAGCTTAATAGTTCATCAACTCCCATTATACACTTAACTTAAAAAGTTTGTTTGTTTGTAATTAAGCACAAAGCTACACAATGGCAAACAAAATATTAGTTAAACAACGTTGTTTTGATACATTGCATCGAGATTTCTAAGCGGTTTGTGTAGATGTTGTTTGAAGTTAAGCACAAAGCTACACAATGGGCTATCTATGCTCTGCCCACCACGAGTATCGAAACCCGGATTCTAGCGTTGTAAGTCCGCAGACATACCGCTGTGCCACTGGGAGACATTTAAAAAGTAAATTACCATTCAGTAAAGTATATCACTATTATATTCTATATTTAGCGTTAAGATTTGTATTAAGAAAGTGTTACACCACTGACAATCAGATTTATGCCTAATGAAAAAATATTACATATAATTAGACTGAGGGTGGGAGGTCAATTATTTCACAATTATATTAATATACTTCATTTTAAGCCAATAATAATTATATCTTGTAACTAGAAATTACACAGAGAAATGGACACCCTCTGGAGCTGTTGCTTTTCTTTAAATATAATTAACGAAATAATATAGGTCTTGAAATTTCAAGTCATTTGGTATTGTGACAGATATTTAGAGTTGGAAGCATGTTAAATAGGTTAGGTATTCTTATTGAAGTCCTATCTGTCCATGTTCGCTTCAATACAATAGTTGCTATTCCAGGTTTTTGAATATATTTTAGTCTGGTGGTAATTATATGAGATGTATATTTAAAAAAAAAATTGTAAAAGCAACTTCTGTTCATCCATACAGAAATCGTCCGTATACAACGTACACTTTTATCTTGTTCTCTTCATACAACTTCTGTTCATCCATACAGAAATCGTCCGTATACAACGTACACTTTTATCTTGTTCTCTTCATACAACTTCTGTTCATCCATACAGAAATCGTCCGTATACAACGTACACTTTTATCTTGTTCTATTTATAATGTTTTCCAAACACAGTAGCTTTTAATCGTTTTCAAAATTTATCAACCCAAACACTGTTTCTGTGGAAAAGATTGGCCAAGAAATACCGGCATGCCTAGATGTGCCCCAAAAGTTGTCACAGTAATAAGGAGACTGAACAAATGCATTGACATTATACACAGCAATATCAGTTTTTCTATTATCGAACTAGAATTTTACAATCATATATTTTTATGCTATTTCAACAACAACAAAAAAGGAGAATAAAATGTAATATTTGTAAGCGAATCCACTTTACCCATCGGCAATTAAGTCTGTCTTCATGTGAAGAAAACTCTACTTCGTCTCCATGTCGCAACCTTTCTGTATATTTGTAAATTTTATTATTACCTAGACTCGTTCCTTCTGTAAATGGGCTGGTGGTTAAAGCGCTCTATTCGCAATCTGCAAGTCGTGTGATGGAAATTCGTAAACATGTTCGCCCATTCATACGTGGGAGCGTTATAATGTTACGGTGAATCCCATATTTTGTTTATAAAGAATAGCCCAAGAGATGGCGTGGATTGTGTAACTTAGTTGCCTTCCCTCTTGTCTTTCAATTTAAAATTAAGGAAGGTCGAGTAGCTTTGCACAAAGTCCAACAAA